TTTAAATAAACTCTGTGTTAGCATCTCTCTTGGCTATTCTGGTTTTAAAGGATGAGCTACAGGTTAGGTTTTTCTGCGGTGATGAGTCACTTAAACACTCATGCCAGGGGTAACACTCGAGGTGTTTTGCAGGAATCGTCCATCTAAAGTGGTTGCCTTTCTTGAATGTAGCTGCCATCAGGTCATCACAGCCTGGTCCTTCCAGGGCAAAGGCACTCGCAGGACCAGTGTTTAAAAATGCCACCTGGCCCCTCTTGCTGTACTGTAAATGGGCCTGTCCACACAGGCCAGGGGTGCTAGATCTAGCACTTGTTGGAGACCTATACATCACAGCCCACTTGGTTAAGAAAAGGCAAGGAGACAGCCTGAAGGTGAAATGAGGAAGCAAGAGCAGTGAGGAGAAAGGAAGCTTCTTTTCACCTTTTCTACTCAGAGATGCAAACAAGCCTGTTGTAGCTTAGCATTAAGGAGGGCAGGCTTTCTGATTTCTAGGAAAGGCAAACTAGACCTCTGCTCTCCATCCAGATGTGACTGTGATGTTGTGGGCCACCTGCCATGGGCATCAGGCCTTGCCTGGGATGGAAGGTCCAGCATCCTGCCCCAGCCTCAGGAGATGGGTGCCTTCTGTTGCCTGGGAGCCTTCTGACCTCCAGGAAAGTAGTATTGACTCAAATGTAGAGTCTAAGGGCTGGGTAGGCACTGCCGAGCCAAAAGATAGCTGTGTGACCAGAACCTTAATGGTGTCTCTACTGAAATAGGTTGTTTTGTTGTTGTTAAGTACCGTCAAGTTGAACCCAACTCATAGTGACCCCTCTTTGGGTTGCCGAGGCAGTATGACTACGGAAGTAGATTGTCCAACCTTCCTTCCGAGGAGTGGCTGGTGGATGTCAGAAACCTGGTCCTGGTGAGAGGGCTGAGCTCCCTAACAGGCCTAGAACTTTGTTTTCTTTTAAGCCTCAAGAAAAAAGATTGGGATTCCTTGAAGCTAAGCTCTTGTAGAGCAGTTATCTCATTTATTGTTCAAAATGAGACACTTGAGTAAAAAAAAGGATGCTGTTAGTATAATACTGGAACAGCAGACCTGAACCAGGCCTGTCCCGGGCAAACTGGGGCAATGGGGGATCTACTTAGATTTTCATTCATTAGCAATGGAATAGCTCCTCCCTGACTGTTTGGATCTAGTTTTGCGTTAACAGTTCTTCCCAGCTTGGGCTTGGTGAAGAACAAAGTGCCTCCTAGCGCCTTTGTCTTGTGCTGGTCGCCTTTGTCTTGTGCTGGTCGGCAGTATTCAAAAAAACCCTCAGTGGGGCTTGCCTGCTTTACTGCTGCTTTCTCAGCCTAGCAGCTGAGCTCTGCAACTAGCACCTCAAGACACCCACCTGAGCATCTTGCACGGGCTGGCTGCTTTAGTTAGATTATCTCTAAACTTTACACCTATTCAAGGTTGGTGACATTGAAATTTTAAATTCTGCAAAATGACCTTACTTGCCTAAAGCTGGGGTGACTAAACACATATTGTCTAAGCTGAGACACTTTGGAAAATGGAGGGGGTGCTGTTTAACATACCTCATGACAGATGGCATGAACTGGGACTGTTCTAGGCAAAGCAGGCACAAAGTATCCCATCACCCTAACTTAGGTCACAAAATTGGCAGGTGATGCTAAATGACTCCAGAACTTGAGTTTCCCTGTAGGCATTTTGGGACCTCTGGAGTTTGGAAACCTGCAGCTTCCTCTTGTTTACAACCGTCTACACCCATGATTCCCCAAACATCTTTTTAAAATGGGTTCTTCCATTTTATTTTTGTAAAAAAAAAAAAAAACCACAACGGTAGTTAAGTCACCATCAACCAACCACATGACAGACAACTCACCAGGCAAAGGTCTTAATTTCCTCCCTCCGTTTCATATCCCATGTGTCCAATCAACAGTGTGGGGAGCAGTTGGCAGGGACAGGAAGAGTTGCCCAAAGGGAGTATTAAAAACCAAGGGCTCGGGAAAAGGAAGAAAATCACAGAGCCACCACTTAAAATGGGGTTATTTGTAAATAACGTGTTCTGAATGCAGGGAAGGAAAGACCACGCTGTCAGAAACCATTCCAAGTGCCATGTTGGCTGGGAGGAGGGGGAGACAGGGTTTTAAGAAATCAGACAAGATTTCATGAATTTGCTCAGCTCCCCTGGAACAAAGACTAAGAAATACATACTGCTTGAAAGCCTTACACTACCGTGGTGGGTCGGGGCTGCAGATCTCAGGAGGCTTTGTTAGTGCATTTAGTGCTGGTGAGAAGGCGGACCCTTGCCTTGGACGTTGACGTCCTCTAAAGACAAAGCAGGATAGTGATAACCCCGTGTCCCCCGTCATCTTCTGCTGAATAAGGGGGCTGAAGAGGAGGTCTCGCCGTTCTGGCCCGTTTCCAGTCCACGTGTGTGCAGACTTGGGCCAAAGCAGAGCAAGGAGCCTGTCTCAGGGGTGTTGTGAGAGCCCGTCTGGTGAGCTAGTCCCTGCCTGGCCAGCTCCCTGCAAGGCTCAGGCCTCATGCTCATGGGATGACCCCGCACCATAACCCGGTTGCAGCCTTCAGCCCCGCATGGGCCATGGACACAGATAGATTAGGCATAGCCACCAGCCATCTGACTGGTGGCTGCATTGCTGCCTGTTCCTCGCCAGGCTCTGAAGCTGAAGAAGGTGCTCACTCCATAGGCAATCATCACTAAACACGCAAAGAACTGGAAGAGAGGGGAGAGAAGGGTACCAAGGCTGAGTCAGTCTCAGGGTGGCAGTGGGAGGGGGGGGATAGGGTGACGGGGATACAGTCACCAGCCAGCTGCCTTAACAGCCCCCTTAATGAACAAGAGCAAGTAGTGGCAGCCATACCAACTCACACTTAGCCGTACACTCATTGAGTAACTGTTGAGGGGCTAATGGGTGCCAGGGATGAAAACACTACATTCTAGTGATAGGAGCACTGGTGGTGCAGTCAGTGGTTAAGGCACTCGGCTGCTAACCGAAAAATTAGTGGTTCAAACCCATCAGCTGCTCCACAGGAGAAAGATGAGGCTGTCTGCTTATGTAAAGATTGACAGCCTTGGAAACCCAATGGGGGGTCACTGTGAATCAGAATCAACTTGATAGCAGTGAGTTTGATTTTGATTTGATGATTATTTTTATTTATTTATTTATTTATTTATTTTGGTTTGAGAGGTGGGAAAAGTTAATGAGTACACATATGTCAAGCTGAGATAAGGGCAATGAGGAATATAAAACCAGATAACGTGACATGAGGGACCGACGGGTAAAGAGGTACTTTAGATACATCGGGGATTTAGTTTTCAAAAAGCAACATTCAAAGGCCACTCCAGGAATTTTCTAGAATCAATTCAAACTACTACACCAACACCTACAGCCACATTCAATAGCTCCATGTTTCTTTCCCTGTGCCTGAAGTACCAATTTCCAAATCTTCCTACTAACAAGGCAGGGTTGGGAGACACAACGCCTGGTCTAAATCCTGTCCTACCCTGGACTTACTCTAGACAGGGTATTTAACCTCTCTAAGGCTTCCTTGTCTTTCAAAAGGGCCTTTCAAGTCCCTGTCTTCTCTTCCTCACAGGGAGAGTCAGGTTCATCCTGAACCACTGTGTGCACATGACTTTGTGGGGTATATCCTGATAGGTGGGTCAGACATGGTTGTTACTTTACTGGCCACTTCACATGGAGTCCAAGTTTGGACTTGTGAGAGGTGCTTTCAAGTCAGTTCCAACTCAGGGCAACCCTACACGCAACAGAACGAAACCCTGCCCAGTCCTGCTCCATCCTCGTAATCATTGCTGTGCTTGAGCCCATCCTTGCAGCCACCGTGTCAGTCCATCACACTGAGGGTCTTACTCTTTTTCACTGCCCCTCTAACTCTATGGAGTATGATGATCTTCTCCAAGGACTGCTTCCTCCTGATAACATGACCAAAGAACATCCTTTGCGTCCTTGCATCTAAGGAGTACTTTGGCAATACTTCCAAGACAGATTTCTTCATTCATCTGGCAGTCCCGAGTATATTTAATATTCTTCACCAATACCATAATTCAAAGACATCAATTCTTTCTTCAGTCTATCTTATCCATTGTCCAGCTTTTGCACACATATGAGGCAACTGAAAATACAGTGGTGTGGGTCAGACACACCTTAGTCCTCAGAGTGATATCCTTGATTTGCAGCAGATTTGCCCAATGTAATACATTGGTTTCTTGATTGCCGCGTCCATGGGCACTAATGGTGAATCCAAGTAAAATTAAATCGGTGACAAGTTCAATCTGTTCTCCTTTTATCATGATGTTGCTTGTTGGTCCTGTTGTGGGGATTTTTGTTTTTTTTATGTTGAGATGTAATCCATGCTGAAACTGAAGGCTGTATGTAGAGTCTTTGATCTTCATCAGTTAAGTGCTTCAAGTTTCCTTCTTTTCAGCAAGCAAAGTTGTGTCATCTGCACATCACAGGTTGTTAATGAGTTTTCCTCCAATTCTGATGCCACGTTCTTCATATAGTGTAGCTTCTTGAATTGTTTGCTCAGCATACAGAAAGGACACAACCCTGAGGCACACCTTTGCTGATTTTAAACCATGCAGTATCCCCTTCTTCTGTTCAAATGACTGCCTGTTGGTCTACGTACAGGTTCTTCATGAGCACAATTAAGTGTTTAGGAATTCCTGTTCTTCACAGTGTTATCTATAATTTGTTATGATCTACACAGTTGAATGCCTTTGCATAGTCAATGAAACACAGGTAAACATCTTTCTGGTATTCTCTGCTTTCAGCCAAGATCCATCTGTTACCAGCAATGATATCCCTCATTCCACATCCTCTTCTGAACCCAGTTTGGCAGTTCCCTGTCTATGTACTGCTGCAACCGTTTTTTAGTTATCTTCAGCAAAATTATACTTGTGTGTGATATTAATGATACTGCTGGGTAATTTCCACAGTCCTTCCTTTGGAATGGGCACAAACATAGATTTCTCCCAGTCAGTTAGCCAGGGAGCTGTCTTCCAAATTTCTTGTCATAAACAAGTAAGCACCTCAAGCTTTGCATCTGTTTGTTGAAACATCGCAATGGATATTCCCTCAGCTCCTGGAGCCTGGTTTTTCTCCAATTCTGTGTAGCTTGGACTCCTTCTTTCAATACCATTGGTTCTCAATCCTATGCTACCTCCTAAAATGGTTAAACATCAACCAATTCTTTTTAGTACAGTGACTCTACATTCCTTCCATCTTCTTTTAATGCAACCTGAAATTTCTATATTTTGCCCAGAGAACTCTTCAGTATTGCAATTCAGGGCTTGAATTTTTTTCTTCAGCTTGACAAATGCCAGCTTGCTCTTCCCTTTTGATTTTTTAACTCCAGGTCTTTGCACATTCATTATAATAACCTTGTGTTCTCAAGCCACCCTTTGAAATCT